TCGATAAACCGGGGCCTCTTGCGGAGCAGTTCAATTCATCCATCAGACTGCAAGCATACCCCATCCAGCGTGTATCTCATGCGCAGCCTTTCGCTTCTACGGGGTATAGCTGCAGGGCAGGTCGACTGACAGTTACATAACGAGACCCTTCCAATCCTTCTATGTAATACACATGCAACGTTCAATCTCACGTGACGCACCGAATTATGGCGTTCCGCCTTGTGCCGTGGGGAGATTCGATGGTTTGGATGAAATTGCGGTAGACCTATTCCTAATTCCTACTAGTCACATCATGGATTTGTTCGAGAAGAACGTGGATGGGTTGATTTTGTAACCTGTGACGCCGCTAACGGTTACATGGGCAAAGTAGTCGCTTAGCTTTTAGCAGCCCGCATGGATCGTTGCCATTAGGGCTGAGTCTGCATCATCCTGCCGAGTATCACCAACAACCCGTGGGGTGAATGATGTCGGAATTTTTCGGGGCTCAGTGTCCCTGTGTAGTAGTATTTTAAATTTATCCAAGACCCAGAACACAAGTCCGTAAATGCAGCTTGCTTATTTCAGACGAGCAGCCAGACTGAGATACCCTACGGTGGAGGGATGACTTTTATATCACGTGAGACCAACAGGGGTGCTGAGACTGAGGGTAGTCTGACTTAAGAGACTGCTGGAATCACTTCAAATGGCATGAGAGCGATTGTCTGTGGAAGCATTGATTATAGAACTCTGTGAGGTTTAATTATAGCTGGAGAGCCGAGGATCACACGTCCGTTCTCGCGGGTACCGCTGCTCACCAATGCCTCACACTAACCAGCACCTGTTCCCTGGGATCCAGTTCAATAGAAGACTGTTGGGAAGTCACTAGGCCCAAGCGGGTGAGGACCTGCCACACAAGCTTACGCTTGAGACCTTCGCGTACCGGGATCTTCTCAAGCGCGTCAAGCCCATTGAAATACTTGATATAGGTCGGCCATAGATCCTTCATTGGAGTGCTTAGGGCGGCATACTCAGGGTCTATCTCGCCTCCAGCGGCATTCGATCCTTCTCCCCGGCGACGGCGGCCGGCGGATCGAGGGTGCTCAGGAAAGCGAGAGACAATCTGTTCCAACCACCGTGACTCCAGTGGTGAGGCGCGATGAGGGAACAGGATCAAAGAAGACGTTCTCAGCGACGTATTTCGATCTACCATGGAATGTGAGAGACGTAGGTCGCTCTCCTGCTGGTAACGCCCGGGCATTGGCGTCTCTTCCCCGCTACCCTGGCTTGCCAGCGATGACGACGAGGACGAGCTAGCATCGTCGTTCTCATCCGCCTCGTTCCCGTTTTCGCCATCAGCAGACTTCTGCGCCTCCAAAGATCTGCCTTTCCGCAGATACTTGTCCACTTCTTCACGGCGAAGAGCAACTTCTACGGTCATCTTTATCTCTGGGGTGACTTTGATCCTTGCAAATGATCGAAGTTGAGTTACCCAACCCCCTCTTAGCAGCCATGCCAAGATAGCAAAATATGTCTCCTTATGGTCTTTGCTCGGGATAAAACTTCCATATGGTCTCGGTGTTCCGCTCAGGGCAGAAAGCATCTTGGGCAAGCTGGGGAGGGTTGGAAATGCTGCCTGGTAGGCAGCAGTGGCTATTTCCAGCTTGCTCAAGTCACAGTTCGGAGATACAATGTACGTATCACGTTGGTGAATTGGGGGTATGGCGCGTGCACGGCGCCAGTATACAAGATGACTGGCCAGCATTTGTATGGTCGAGAGGGGTATGCCGGACGATGCGGATATCTGCGCAAAGGATTTCGTTGGCCTGGAGCACCGAAGATAGTGAGCAAGAGCAGGTGCCAGAGCACCTCCGGACGCTTCGACGTCCTTGAGAATTGCCGCCTCGTTGTCCAGCAACAACAGCGCAAAGTGTTTGGCTAGCACCTGGTGCGGTGCGGTGTTTCCATCGGCAGCAGGATCCTCCACCGGGGTGACACTATCTGCAGTGGTGAGCCAGAGACCCGGGTACGCTTTATCAGTCGGTCCAGGCAGGTAAGGTGTCGAGGTTAGAGGAGGTATCTGAAGCGATATGGAGACATCTGGACTGAGCGGAACGGATGCAATTTTGGATGCGGATATGCTGGTGTGGACGGTGTATATGGCCCTAGCGAGCGACGATTGATTGATCAACTCCGTGTAAAGGGCGTTGAGGGAGGTTCCTACGTAAGAAGGATCAGCATCGGACGTCTCAGAGAACGTTCTTGAACATTGCGACTTACTCCTCTCTTTAGCTTTTTCTTTGAGATGTGATATATGTTGGGCCTCTCTCCAGACATAATCCGTTCGGGCCTGCTCCCATTTCAAGGCTTTGGCGAATTTCTTTATGATATTGTCGTAGACTTCCCTAGTGCGCATGGAGTATTCCAGTAAAGGAGGGTCTAACACGAAAACCACGTTGAACATCGTCATTGAATCCTTGTCCTCCCCGTCCAAGCAGTCAACTGATGACCTTCCGGCTTTGCTGCTACATCCGGACGCTCGTTTGGCCTCTGGGAGTGCCGTCTGCTTGGGACTCAATGTCTCAGTCGACGCCGCCATCAGCTCACCACCGCCGCTGGCGTTGCCGCCAGCATCGCCGTCCTCGCCGTCCGGCGCATCCTCCGCATTCTCGTTATGGCCCAGTTCACCACCCTCCCACTCAGCACGCCGCTTCTTATTTTTCTTCCGTCTCTGTTTCCTCCACGTCCCGTCCTCGCGAACAAAAACCGGCCACCCAATGAACGCCAGGTCGTTGATCCCGACCTCGAACCTTCGCTTATGCCATGCAGGCGACGGACTCAATAACTTCTCCCAGACATCAGCAGGAAGTCCCAGAAGTGACTCCCACGGTGGACGATACGGCCCACCCGCTCCTCCCGACCCGTCTTCTTGCCTGTCCGACGCCGCGCCCGAATCCTCCTCGACATCTGAATTGCCGCCTCGTTTGCGAAACGACGTCCGGCCGGATCCCATCGACCCAGCGCGCTGGGATTCTCCGCCGGGAGAGACAGACATGGCAACATGATCGTCGAGGCCGAAGTTACTCGACCGTCGCCCCGACACCACACTCCCGCTGAGGTGGCTCTGGCTCTGGTTTTGGCTCTGAAGCTGGCGCTGGTGGTCGTCCTCGTCGTCATCGGAGCTGGAACCACTCTCCTCGCTGGAGCTTGATTCATTGCTCTTGTAGCCTTGTCCGTTCTTCGAGCGCGAAGTGCGTCGTTCCTTGCGCGCAGGTCTCAAGCCATTCTCGCTGAGTGGGTTGGGAGGGTAGTGGAACACGAAGCGTGGGCCCGCACGTGAGCGGACAATTAAGATGATGGCGACCAGGCACGGATCTGGTGGACGTGCAATTGACGACATTTGATGGTAGTGGTTATTCCATTAGTCTTGTGTTGCTTTCTGTGGAAAAAAGGCTGAGCATAAGCCAATTGGAGCTCCCTGGGAGCATCTAGGAGCGGTCGTTTGGGGTTGTCGATCGCGGGATAAGATCGAAAGAAAGTTTCCCCGCATCAACTTTCAAGGAATAACAGATCCAGATGAGCCACTAGCCTCTTACTGACAATATATATCTATCGTCCAAAATCGACAAAACAGTGTTCACTTGAAATTACATTTACGAACAGCGCATCGGTACGCTTTTCTTTCGACTGCTTAAGATTGGTCCAGCCCAGCAGGCATTGATCATGCACGGCATTTATTGATTGCATGTTGATACACAAGAGATGCGTATGTCCAATATATACAGATAGAGTAAATCCCCATAACTCCGGGAGCAATATAGCAATAGTCGTGAGAGCTGAGGCATTCATATTCCCTGACTTCATGATGCCCAGTATATCGTACACTCCCCATCTTCAGTCGCCAAGGGTACTATGACTTTATCCCTGCATTCTGCGCTGCCGTTTTGTCGTTTTGCGCTTCGTCTTTCTCAAACACGAGTCCGAGATTTTTGAAGTCGTCCGGCGCCATCAGGTTCCTGCTCGACCAACGATGTTAGCACCCATTCTTGCGACATTAATGATTTGCACCGGGCTTGGTACGGCCCGACATACTTATCCATTCGACAGCTCAGGTATCCCTTGGCTAGCTTGCGACACTCTTCGTCGTTGACCCCTCTCCTCAGCTTCAGACATTTCAGATACTGGGAAATAAGGTGCTTGCATTCGCCTGTACATTGTTAGACCGTGATCTTGCCCCATCCGCAGTAGCAATATTCCATGGCAATGCTCGTTTCTTCGAGAACTGATATGTTGCTGGAACGATCCGATCGACGCTCTTCTCCACTGGGATCCAAAGACAACACGGGCAGTGGAAAGTTACCTTCATGATCAAGTGGGAAACTCCCTCGCTCAGGACTAGTTGATCCGGTTAGCTGCTGTCTTATGTCCGGTCACAAAGCGTTGGATTTCAAGAATCTGAGCAGTTTAGAGAGGACTCACGGAGTAGGCTTGACATTGGTTGCGCCACCACCGGGGCTTCCGAAACTCATCGCGATTAATTATACGAGCAGTGAGCCAATCAGACAATGAGTAGTAACAATAATGCGAAATAGAGACGAATTAGAGCCAATGAGTAAATGCTGTACGGAGTTGAGCTGTCGGATGTTGAAAATTAAGGCCAAAATAGGCCGTTCTCAAACAGGGCAAACAGTCCAAACAAGTGAGATCATCATATCAGCAATTCGGAGACGCGCAGAAGGCTACATTCGCATCAGCACGGGAGAGCTTAGGTTGATGCTATGACCTCTCCTTCGCGGGCTTTTAACTGGTTTGGGTAGAATGCTCTTGATCTGGTATGTTTGCTCCAATGGATGAATTGTCTCGGGAGTATGGCTATGGTTGGATTCTCCACATTATGTGGACTATATATACATGACGTTGTTCCCAGATCAGCAACTGTAAGGTAGTCCAAAATATCTTCCCCCAAGACAGCCAGCTCTAGGATCTGATAAAATCCACTTTTCGGCCACAAATATACCGCCAGGATGCCCATGTAAGTCCACAAATCGGTGGTCAGCACCTGCGTTCATATACATACCCCGCGTGCCGTTCATATCAGACTCAGACTAGCAACCACTGATACTGTGGACACAGGAAACTTGAAGGAAGCTGCCAGTGCGGCGGGGTGCAATTTACTCTCGATTCTCAAACGCCTGTTCCTTATCAGCTTTGTGCATGCAGCATTTGCCGCAAGGTTGGTGGCTATAGCGGCAGTGTCAACCTAGGAGGTATCGCGGATAGCCTCAAAATCATCAAGGGAAAGGATCTCATTAAGTGTGTATTGACCCTAGATATGCCTGGTATAGATTGCTAGGTCTATTGGTCGAGCGTTGGTCTGATAAAGGCAGGAAATACAACGCCATAAAGGACCGTGGCACTCCCAACGAGGCAAAATGTTCGTCTGAACGCAACTTCTGTTCCAATTGCAGTACTATGCTCTGGCTGTGGGACCATCACTGGCCGGAGCTCATCCATCCTTTCGCATCTGCCATCGACACCGAGTTGCCGGTCCCAGACGAGATGGTTTGTGTCTTGGCAAACTCCAAACCATCCTGGGTACGGTGGCCCGAAGGCAAGAAATCGGTGCATGATGTCTACGGCGACGACAGCATTGAAGGGTGGCACAAGAAACATGGTCTATTCATGGAATGAGGAATACGCTGCAATTCATGTGATGTTTACTCAAGATATCATTACCAAGGATTAAAAAATCTGCATTTCCCTAGGACATATAACTAAGCAACTGTCTGCAAGTAACAAGTTAGCCAAAGTAACTTTTGGGGTTGTTTGAGATTGATGATCAGAGAAGACGAGGTATCAGTTCTCCAAGGTGAAATGATGTTTTTCTTCAAGATGTATTCAGTAAGAACACAGCGAATCAAGAGATCATCATACAACATCCATGGCAAAAAGAATAAGGGTAGCACTCACACTGCAGTAAACGTCGTTAGCAATCACTACGATTCAGGTATCCCTATAACAATTCGGACAATCAGCAAGCCTGTCCAGAATAATTCGTGTGTGATGCAAGCGAGATGAAGTGTCAACTATTGTCAGGCTGTGATAAGTTAGCATGTATCGGAGCAACCAAGACCTTGAAGTACTAACCTCATTAAATCAGATTTTTTGTGTATGATGTTCATTTCCAGAACGCGTGAGCGCCCAGATCAAACAGTGTGAATAACGTGTTCATCATATAGAGTTGACTGAGGAATGCATGGACGAATGACGGGAGGTTGGGAAGAATAGAAGTACCTAGTACAATTTGTTAGTCGTGTCCGACAGTTCAAAAGTACGACAACTGAAGACAGCCGCGAAAAACTCAGGTGACGAGTTCTCAACAAGTGATACGTCTTCACAACATCCGCAGAGTTTGTACACTCTACTTTTGATGGATGGGGAAGATGCACACAATCTGTCCGCCCGTTCGTTCAAAATATCTTCATCGAGGGGCTGTCAAGGCAGTTTGGAGTGAACCGAATGGTATTTACCTATTGTACAGCTCGTTAGTCATCGAGGACAACAATAAATGAGATGAACAATTCAGGCATGATATGAAGTAGTCAGACAAGGCTGAAACTTAAGTTTAGACAGATTCCACATGGTGATTAAGTTTGAGGAATGCCTTAGCGTGTCGTAGAGTCATCACTCAATGTAAAGGAAAGAAAGTTGAGAAAATCAGTCCGCATACCTTTTACTATTATTGATGGGATATATCCCAGGTGCTCAAGTCATGGTTTGACAAGGATATTCTAATAGACATAACGTCAGCAAGCTATGCAAGGAAAAGACTGCAGGTGATCCAATAACATGTTGGAAAGTGTCAGAGTAATTCTAGAGACTTTGAAGGGGTCCTTCATGAATTTTCGGACGTGGATATCCTGTTAAGGAAATCATCCTGCACTGTCAAGGGACATGGTGTTCAGGGAACAGCATCGACAAGCTTACCTTCTCTACGCGAGTGATCAATTGGAATCATATGTTAGTGATCATTGCAAATATAATGATGAAGGAATCGGAGATTGGACAATCATCATGTCCGTTGTCAGGCTTGTAGTTGCAAGCTATGATCGTCGGTAAAAAAATATTGTGGGTTGAGATGAAATTTTATAGGAAGAAGCTTTAGCGTGCGGTAAGCGGCTTGTACCATAAGTGCTGTTTGACAACTTTTCAAACACCACACCACCACAGTATGGAGGCCGTTGATAAGGTGAGGTTCCTTTCAAGAAGATGGTCAATGGCACTTGAGTTATACTATGCGAATTATCTTCTGGATGGCTGGAGCTATCTGAATAGGAAAACGAGCTCTTTTGCCGTATGAGCGATGACCTCGACGTTGAGCTTGCATGTGGAGTACTACAACTTTCTTCGGTTCGCATAATCGCCTGCAATGCCAATTGAAAAAGATAAGAGGCTCAAACAAGAGCTGAAGAAGCAGCTGTTTGGAGGTATATGATCAGGAGACTTTAGAATATTTCTACCTCTGGCAAGTCGAAATGTAGAGCGCTTGCCCTGAATAACAAATGGCACCCACAAATCCCCATTCTGTGCCGTCAGTCTGTTTTAAGAAGACGTCATATTCGTCCGCATTGAGCCAGGCAACTCTGGCCTGATGTTAGCTGGTCACCAAGGCAGAGACTTCGTACGTCAAACTGACGTTACTTTGAAATCCCGGCTTTGATTCCCTGCCTTCCAGATGTCGCTCAGTTATAAAGTAGACATCTTGACCATAGAAAGTGACTATCAGTACATCATCGACTCGCCAGCTAGCATTGAGACCTCATTACACATAATCACTTGTCAATAACCAGAAGATCGCACAAAATGACAAAGTTCAAGCTCAACACCGGTGCAGAGATTCCCGCCATTGGCTTCGGAACTTGGCAGGACGAGCATGCCCAGGAGGACGCCGTCACAGAAGCCCTCAAAGCAGGATACCGCCATATTGACACGGCGAGAGTGTAAGTCTGGATTTGACTTTGCGTCCTCTCGACCGGCATTTGTCTGACGCGGGACAGATACTTGACCGAAAAGGCTGTAGGAAGAGCAATCAAGAAGAGTGGCGTGCCCCGAGAAGAGCTTTTCATAACGACCAAACTCTGGAACAACAAGCACCACCCCGATGATGTCGAGGGAGCACTCGATGCTTCCCTCGCTGACTTGCAGTTGGACTATGTCGACCTCTACTTGATGCACTGGCCAATAGCTTGGAAACGGGGCGATGAGCTCTTCCCCAAGGAAAACGGGAAGTATGTTCTGGAGGACATTGACATCGTGGACGTATGTACATGCTTGGTATCCAATCGGACCTATGTGCCCAGCCACTGATCGCATGGTCGCAGACATACAAAGCCATGGAGAAATTGCTGTCTACCGGCAAGACCAAAGCCATTGGCGTTTCAAACTTCTCCAAGGCAGAGATGGAACGTTTGATCCAGAACACCTCGGTCGTGCCGGCCGTACACCAGCTTGAAGGTCATCCTTGGCTGCAGCAGCGTTCCTTTGTCGATTGGCACAAATCAAAGGGCATCCATGTCACCCATTACTCTCCCTTTGGCAACCAGAACGAGATCTACTCCTCAAAAATCCAGATTGGCAAGCTGATTGACGAGCCGGTATTGGCCGAAATCGGGAAGAAGTACAATAAGTCCTCCGCACAGGTTGCTCTTGGTAAGTTCCCTTGCAGACTTATTCAAGCTGGAAGCGACGTTCACTGACCATGGATCGCACACTCAGCCTGGGGTGTCACACAGGGCCATTCGGTACTGCCGAAATCCAAGACCCCATCTCGAATTAAAGCCAACCTCGAGGGCGACTTCCACTTGAGTGATGAAGATATGAAGAAGATTCAAGGCATCGACAAGAAGCTACGCTTCAATGATAGCAGCGCTGATTTTGGTCGGGACTTCTTTACAGACTTGGAGGGCAAGGGGTCGGTTTGAGGTACACATTTATTATTAGCCCCAACCAAAGAAATGATGTAGCCTAGAGCAATAGGGACGATGAGTTAAAAAAACGAAAAAAAAAAGCTTAATGAATGTGACGAGTACGACATTTCCAAAGAAAGTTCATTGATCGTCAAAGAATCGGCTTGGCTACCTGGAAAATCGTGGCGGAGTTCAATGGTTCCCAGCCGCTGCCAACGAGATACAAAGGCCTCTTAATCCCAGCAGCCACCCAAACCATCCTTCTTATCCTTGCTCATCCGCTCCCGTCACTATATAGCTACTCGCGTGACCTCTTTGGCGAGTATTCCATCAAAGTGTTCAAGGGCGAATTTTCATCATCTTGATCCACCAGTCAACAAAATAATTGCTTGCGTAGCCTACAGTTATCAGATCCATAGTCCAAGACCACTGCGTTCCCCACGATGCGGCCTGCGTTAAGTCGCATACCGTTGCGCTTAGTATTTTCCTATATCCTGGACTGGATCTTCATAGTGTATGATGGCTGTCCCTGAACTGAATATCAATGAACACTTGTGTGTTTAAAAATCACGTTGGACTAACGTATTTACAGCATCGTTGCGGTGATAGGATTTGGCTTTTACAAGGTCAAACCGAACCATAGACCATTCTCCCTAACCGACCCAAGCATTTCCTTTCCGTATACGGAACATGAAACAGTCTCAACCGCTGTCCTAGTGGTGGTAGCTCTGATTGCTCCGGCTGTCATTATTGTGATCACAGCCCTGCTTATCCCCATGTCCACAAAGGACCAGAATGTGTCTCGATCATCACACTGGAGATACAAGCTATGGGAATGGAATGCAGGGTGGATGGGTTTGGCGGTCGCTTTTGCATGGGCATGGATGGCGACCGAGGGTTTGAAGGACTTATATGGCAGGCCACGACCCGACATGCTTGCGCGTTGCAACCCGGATCTCTCGAATATAGCCACTTATGCTGTCGGTGGCCTGGGAGAGAAGCTTGCGGGGGCCCCCACACTGGTGACTTGGAAGATATGCCAAAACAAGTCAAAAGTACTTGCAAATGACGGATTTGCAAGCTTCCCCAGCGGACATTCATCTCGTAAGTGGCTGATGTCTGATCCAGAGGGTCTACACATATTGACACCTTGCAGTTTCTTTTGCCGGCTTGACATACTTGACTTTATGGCTGTGTTCAAAGTTCTCAATCGCATTTCCATACCTCGGACACTCTTTGTTGAACCGAAATCCGATCGGCCCGACACATGGATCAATTCGAAAACGTGGAGCAGCCCCGCCGGTCTATATGCTTGTAATCGCGTTTGTGCCTATTGCAGTTGCCAGCTTCATTGCTGCATCCCGCTGGTTCGACTATCGTCATCACGCTTTTGACATTCTATTTGGCAGTATCATGGGCGCTGTATTTGCATGGATCGGGTTTCGAATGTACCATCTCCCCATCACGCGAGGCGAAGGGTGGTCTTGGGCGGCAAGAAGTCGGAGACATGCGTTCTTCAAGTGTCCCAGATTCCCAAGTGAGGCAGATGGACACCCGCCAATTGATACGCACGACACTCGAAAGACAACACGGCAGGATGCTGATGTCGAGAGGGAAGCTGAGAATCTGGTGTAAGATTCTATCTGCGGAGAGAAATTTAATGTTTCGACACAGCGGTGGAGTTTCAGGTAATAATGTGTGCATGACACATGGAACGTGAATATG